ATAAGTCTAAGGTAACTATTTAAATAAAAGTTATTATTATATAATAAATTAGGTTCTATAGGTTAATATAAGTTAGCTATTTTTAAAGAATAAACTTTAAAGTAGTTTTATAATTTATATTAGTAAAGTAGTTAAGTTAATAAATAAATAATTTTATTACTAATTATAAAGTAAAGTATTTAAATATTTAATTTAATTACTATAATAATAACTAGCTATTTAAGTATTTTAATAAGTAGTATAAAGTAAACTTATATACTTAGTTAGCTAGGCTAGATTATTACTAAGTAGTAATAATCCTATTATAGATTATCTTAGAGTTTTAATAATCTATTTATAGGTTATTAGATTATTATAATAATTTAATAATCTGTTCTTAATTAATTAGTCGGTCCGTCGTTTATCTAAGACCGGCTACCCTATAGGCCTATTGTCGCGACTATAAGATCCGGGTCGTGACATCGCCCCTTAATATTGACGTCCAGTAGGCATGAGATGCTAATAAATATTATTATACAGACAAGGAGATTATTATTGCGGAGTGGGATATGGGAAAATAGTGATGCGCGATATCGTTGATTCGCATTACAAAGCATGTTTATGTAGGTGTCTGCGTATATACTTGAACCAAAAGTCCACAACTAAATATAGATGACAGATGCGGGTGTGAAGATTTCCGGCACCAATGCCGAAGCCTTGCTAGGACAGTGGGAGTTTCAGGTTGGGCCGTGCGAAGGGATCGAAAGTAAGTGTATTCTTCCAGTCTCACCAATTTATTTCCTTAGTGGCCTGTGCATCGATGGCTAATCAATTGACAGTGGGTGATCATCTATGGATAGCCCGATTCCTTCTCACCAAGATAGCGGAAGATCATGGGGTCAAAGTATCATGGCACCCTAAGCCAGTTGAAGGTGACTGGAACGGTCAAGGCCTGCACACCAATTTTTCGACCAAGGAAATGAGGGCTTCAGGAGGGATGAAGCTTATTGAACAAGCAATGGAGAGGCTGGGCTCTTACCACTCGCAGTGTATCGAAGAATATGGCGATGATAACGACAAGCGCCTTACTGGTCATCACGAGACAGGCCATATCGATATGTTTAGCTGGGGGGTCGCTGATCGCAGTAGGTCTATTCGGATCCCCAGAGAAACAGCAACCAGAGGTTGTGGCTACTTTGAGGACAGACGACCGGCGTCAAATGCAGATCCGTATCGCGTAACCAAAATCTTGATCACTGCTGCTCTTGGCAGGACATAGCGTCTTATTCGGCTTATATAGTATGAAGAGATATACATCAGTTTATTTAAGGAGCCCTTTTACGGTGAAATTATTACCATGAATGGCTCTATATATTTTCAGATATTCTCAAACCACTATTGCATAAAACTTTCCATAAGTGCTGTCAGAATGAGAGAAGATTATATTTGAGAATCTAGGCACAGCAAAGTCAAGTTGAGAGTAGAGGAAGCTCTCCATTCTTAGTCTACAGTCCCCCGTTTACTTTTTCTGATACAAAATTTAACTTGAAAAGCTGATGAAGTACCTCCAAATGATCGGAAAATGTAGAGTTTGATTCCGCCCAGCTTTTTTGGAATATACAGCTTGAGAGTTGACAAATATCTGAGGCACCGCAGCACTGGCAGTTTTCCACACCAAGAGATGGGAATAGGCCGGTCGGTAATTCTCTTGACGTCTTCAGTGCATCTGCTACTAGATTGTTAATTATAGCAAGCTCAGTAGGATACGAATTAATACCTGAGACCGGCGCTTCCGTGTGGAAAGGTATTCCGCTTGCAACTGAAGAAAAGTCCAACGGTTCATCAAGATTATAGCTATCGTCACTGGGGCTCTCTGAGATGATTTTAAGCTGAGATTGCACATCTTTGTTGGCAACATCATGGCTGGATGGATTGGGATTCAATGCACGAGATACCGAATCGTTGAGTAGTTGAGTGTTGACAGCAAATCGAGACAATTGCGCCTGGACTTCAACAAGTTGCATTCGGAGATTTCGGTTCTCTTCTTCTAGTCTTGCGATTGTCTCATTCTGAGGCTTATAGCTCGAGTTTAAACGATCTTGGAGTGTTTTGAGATTCTCCGCACGTCGTCGTCGAAACGCCTGCTGAGACAGGCGATTCCTGACTTTCCTTGAAATCTGTTGAGATAAAGTTTAAAAGACCTCCTTGAATGCCAATACTTACTTTTTATCAGTGTAGTCATTTTTGTTTTGATTATTCCCTCCTTGGCCGTGCGAACGCATGTGAATCTGGTGACTATTCTTTCTCTTTTCTCCTATATATCCAAAGTATTAAATATATTGTAAGTCAGAAAGAAAGAAGTCGCAAAAAAGGTAAAAAGAAGTACGATCTACGGTCGTGTGCCATCCATTTGACAGTTATTTTAATAATACATAGTTCATCCGAAAGTAGCGGCAAGCATTTACAGTGGTATACGGAGTACAGATGCAGTAGAGATATGGAACATCCCACTAATTAAGCCTCCAATTCACAGTTGTTAGAGCTTTTACCCATTGGTGATTGATACCGATTAGCGGTAAAATACTCGTCACTCATGCAGCTTAAGGTTACCGTCGGCTGGGGCTAATTCCCCATATAAACGTGTAAGAATTTAGCTCGGATCAGCGGCTAGCGGGGGACAAATATCGATTGATCATTCCAATGTGCTCAACGAAATGTCCATTGATCTCATCAAGATGCCATTGAAAGCCCCAGTGGAGCCGGTGAGCCGTCACGCTTCGGCATTTTGCGAGTCTGCTCTGATTGCTTTGCCGAGTGACGGGAGAATATTCCACGATTGTGGGCCTTCTCAGTGTGAGATTTTAACCTCTGCTAGTTCGTAGCCTATACTATGGGTCAAGACACTGCAAGTTCACGCCCTGCGTCGGATGAGCAAGAAGTGATGCGTGAATCACGGGGTTTACTCTAAGAATATGGGTAATTATCAAATAATGAAGAATCAATCGTCAACACAATCATTTAGGCGATGCTTAGGTCCACAGTCAACGTGTCGCACCATCTCTAGCTACGTGTGTGCAAGAGCCACGAAGTCAACAGTCTGAAGCGTCCCTCACTGCTACGCAGCTAATAAGTCGTGTAAAAGTTTTGGCGCTGCGACAGAGTGACTTGAATAGGGTGTAAAGGCATGGCTAGCGAATATATATACTACTGACCCTTCTTCCGTTCTCAGCCATATAGGATCATTCACGTACATCAAGGTTAGAGAACACATATTTCTCAACAGAAATCACCATGGCCTCGACACCACCTGTAGCCATGAGCATCCTCGATGCAATCGGCAACACACCGGTTATTAGACTGAATCACATCGTTCCTGATGGATCTGCAGACGTCTACATAAAACTCGAATTTTATAACCCAACAGGGTGCTACAAAGATCGGATGGCGTGGTCCATGATTGACCAAGCAGAACAACGTGGAGATTTAAAGCCAGGCATGACAGTTGTGGAAGCCACTGGTGGTAGCACCGGATCTTCACTTGCATTCATCTGCGCTTTAAAGGGCTACAAGTTTGAAGTGGTGTGCTCCGATGCTTTTTCCGTTGAGAAACTGCGTACAATCACTACACTTGGGGCGAAGCTTGATATCATACATAGCCCTACCGGCAAAGTTACAGCCGACCTGATGCCCTCTATGATACAGCGTGCAAAGGAAATCGGCGAAAAAGAAGGGTATTACTACACGAACCAGTTCAATAACCGGGATGCTCTTATTGGATACGAAGGCATTGGTCATGAACTAGTCAAACAATTCCCCAACGGCATTGACGCATTCTGTGGCGCCATTGGCACCGCTGGGATGGCGATGGGCACTGCACGGGTGTTTAGATCCAAATTGCCCTCTACGAAAATTGTCATTATGGAGCCAGCCTCAGCGCCACACATCACCAAAGGCCAAACCGGAGCACATAGTGTCGAAGGCATTGCAGTTGTCAGCCGTCCGCCTCATCTTGACGAGGCCTTGTATGACGAAGCTCGCGGTATTGACGAAGACAAAGCGCGCGCCATGTGCCGCCTCCTCGCCCGAAAGGAAGGGTTGCTTGTCGGCACATCCACAGGTATAAACGTTGTCGCTGCCCTAGAACTTGCAAAAGAATTGGGTCCTGGCAAGACAGTGGTTACTGTTGCGGTTGATACTGGTTTAAAATACTTGAATGGCAATTTGTTCCAGGGGTGATTGGAGGAAATAGGTGTTCTCTGCATATAGAAACATACCCACCTAGTATGAAGCAAAACATTATTGAGCCCGTGAGAAATCCAATATTGTGCTACATAGCTTAATTAAAACTTTTTCGCTTCGCAAAATTTAGATCTTATAGGCCAAGAATTTGGGAAGTATACGAATGCGAATTATTCCTTTCTGAAATGCCATGCATAGCACTCTGTCTTTCCTCCCTACATCCTACATACTAGAGTTACGTATTATTGCTTTTCAGAGCTAGTCGTTTTGTTCTTGGCCTTACCTTAAATGAGATCTCAGAGCGTGGCTGTATTGCCGGAAACATGGTTCATCACATAATGAAGAGACTCATGTAATAGTTCATCTGACGGCTTCGGTGAGCCTTGATCAAGAAGGCCAATAATGCATTCATCGCACTGTTCAATAGATCAAGAGAGTTCCCCAATTTTCGTGTAAGAAACTAGCGATCAATTACAAAGTTTCCTCCAATCAATGCTATCCGTTATCGTTAATGGCCAAAGTCTCATCCCTCGTCGAGATAAACTTGTGCTAAATTACAAAGCATTAGATTACGCGAACTGCACGCGCAGCAGCAAGTCATTTTACGTCCTAATCTGTCACTTTCTACAATATATGATAGCCCGAAACATATAAGTAAATCTCTTTCTCTGCCTCAGCTTGTCATTTGCATCACCAACAATATTGCGCATAACATACTACAACTACACCATGATACCCACAATTGTATCTCACCAAGAAGAGAGTCTAGCTACCAATAGTAGCATTGTGATCGTAGGGTAACTAGAATCTCGCCTAATTTTGTTCATTATCTCTACAATACTTGTTCTTTATTAATATAGTTGTACAGAGCAGGCATAATCGGCTTAGATGTTGCTTTTGCCCTTTCTGAGCGTGGATTTGGCCCTTCCATTACCGTCATTGCGGAATATCTGCCCGGAGACATCGCCCCTCTGTATACATCACTGTGGTAAAATTTCCGGCTCTTTATCCCGGTCAATTATTGGGCTTATAATGCTTTCGCATGGTAGGGCGGGTTGTAACTATTCCGGGGTATCTGGCTCGTCTGAAGGTCAGTTACGATGGGATCGATTGGGCTATTCACATCTTGCCAAGCTGGCAGCAGAGAGAGGTGACGAAGCTTACGTTGTCCGCACACCAAGTACCGAATTCTGGGATGAAGGTATTCCTGATAATAAACTTGATGATATTAGAGATTACCTCGAGGATGTAGGTGACCATATAAACGTGTTCTAAGAGGAAATGTGTCGCTGATATAGATCTAGTTTGTGGTCCTCCCGGCAGAAAGCCTTCCTGATGGCGTTCAATCCGGTATATCTTTCACAACCTTGACCGTCAATGCGCCTAAACATTTAGAATTTCTCGTCCAATCACTCGAAAACCTTGGTGTCACATTTGTACGACAGAAACTTCCACATATACACGCGCCTTTCGAGAGTAAAGGAACAAGGCTGGTTTTTAATTGTACTGGCAGTGCATCCCAACAAATGCTAGGTGTAGGAGACTCTAAATGTTATCCAACACGCGGACAAGTAGTCCATGTTAAGGCACCACACATCAAGTACAACATCATGAGGCATGGCAAAGACTATTTCACTCATGTTATTCCACGACCAATGTCCGACGGCACTGTGATACTGGGAGGCTCCAGGCATCCTGCTAATAGGTAAGCGGAGGAACTTGTTATCTAAAGACGTGTCTGCTTACAACACCAGTGATACTAACGCTTACTCGAATGAAACTGAATCCATCCTCGCACGCACACGACAGCTGTGTAAAGAGCTCGACCAACAGCCATTCGAAGTACTTGGTGCTTTTGCGGGCCTCCGTCCATCAAGACAAGGAGGGCCTCGAATCGAGCGCGAAGAGATAATCGTAAACGACATTAAGCGTGTTCTCATCCACAACTATGGGGCAGATGGTACGGGATTTCAGGCTGGATACGGCATGGCGACTGACGCTGCGAATAAAGCCCAGGATATGTTAAGTGAGATTTTAGCTACTACTAGTAACAATATCGGTGATCATATGAAGGTGTGATCATTGATCGAAGCATAGATGGCAATCAACGCAGCCGCTAAACGTCTTTGTGAGAGATATCACAAGTTAACCAAACTCTGTGGGGAGTATCGCTGTTGTAATAGTTCCCAGGAGCATACGCAGTGTCGTATTTGTATGCTGATTCCAAAATATGATCGAGACCAAGGGTAGTAAGAAGCGTAAGAAGTGGGTAGGAGGAGATTTCCTCCTGAATAGCCTGTAATTTTCTTTCTTAACGACTTAATGTGTAAAAAATGTTTGCGCTGCAGAATTGCAGCCTCTTCATCAGCCTTGCTGGATATTTGACACATGATCGGTCTTACAAATGGAATAAGCATTTGTTACCACTGGAGCAAGGGGCGGAACTAAGGACATCCCATTTGATGATCGCGCAGTGCATGCTTGATACGTAAGTACCTGCGATTGCATAGTAATATGATGAAAAGTGGCCCTATCATTGATCTCCTGTGTCAAAGGCAGATCAACCTTGTCTTTACTGTCGCAAGAGAAATTATTTCGAGCGCTTTCTGCTGAATACGAGGTGCCACTGCCATCGAGGCTCTTCTTTTTATGTTTCATTTTGTTACCTGTGAGTCTTGTGTATGAGCGGATTACATCGTCGTTTTACATAGCCGTTGCATTATGACTCACGATAATTTCTTTGAGCGATTCGATTCTGGACTCTCCAACGGGCAGCCAGGTCCGAAAGCTTTGTCCAATCTTCATCGGGGTGAGCTAGTTTGCCGAAAGCACTGCAAGCTCCAGTTGAGGCATATTGGCCTAGTGCAGGCTGTTGATCGCTCACACAACGTTTCTGAGACATTGTACCTAGTGAAAATTGTTGTTCAATGTTCTCTCCCAAAAGGACGACCGCTTCTTGTTATATAAACGGTTCTGACGAGGGGTTTTATTGTTCCGAGGCCGGACGCCACCCCCCACAGAAACCAATATGCAGGTGATTGTTGGATTGCGGAGTGTCTATAACTCTAGGTAGAAACATACCCAGTAGGTATACCACACGGAACTCAGCTATATAACGGTGCTAGGTACGGACTAGTACTCCGACTAATTACTGTATGGCTAGCACTAAGTTATCTATATTTATCGAATACTAGAAAGGAAACATTTATGCGTATATCCATTGTCTTTCTCGTGCGGTCCAACCAACTGGTAGACCTTTACAGCTTGGAGCGGGAAACGCATCATTTGATCAAAACTGTGGAATGCATGACAAGCAACACATGTGAACCATGACTCCCTTTCCATCTTTTTGTTAATCTCAAGGATACCTTTTACTCGCATGGAGGCAAAAAAAGGATAGTCGATCTCAGGCAGCGCCACAGCCAGGGTGATAACAACCGCATACATATGTGCCAGAAAGAGAAATAAGAGCGGGTCTCTGTTGCTGAGATCTATAAACGATGCAGCTGAGTTTTTCGTGAACCATGCCGTAAATGGATAGATTAAACGATATTGTTCCTTAGCCGGGATGTGCATTTGATGCCGCTCGTGAGCAACTGTAAGAACATCTCGGAGTTGCCGAGTTACTGCCGCGATGTTTTGATTATTCCGGAAACACGTTGTCAGTCTATTAATTGCATTAATGCCGTCGTCAAAGAGCTCTCTGGCGAAGGCGTGGCGGTCTTTATTCTCCTCAGGTCGATCTAGCTGGTGACGCGCCAGTGTCATCTCTGTCTCTCCAGCGTTATAGCGGAGATCGTACTCAAATAAGTCATAAAAAACGGATTCTTTGGACCAAGTACGCATCTGGTACACAGTCTGCCCTATTATTAGACTTCCTGTCAGGTATACAAGCAGGGCAAATTACTCATACCTGGGAAATGCAGTCGACAATTGCCATTAATGAACGACTAGAGTGCAATTAGCGATGTAAGTTAGGTATCCATGTGCGCCACAAACCAGTCTGGCATCTGATATGAACAACCCAGTGCCGTAGCCAGAATTGCATCCGCATTGCTTCTTGAAAAAGATTGCATTGCTTGTCTGAGTCCCTTCAGAGCAAGAGTGTGATAACGATACGCAGCTACAGATGCTTCATGTGATTTGGCTCGTATTGCAAGGCGTTCGGCAGAAGCCGCTGCTAGCATATGAGCTACAAAGTCGAATGCAGTTGCGAGCTGAAACATCCTGCATCAGTTGATCAGCATAAGTATGACGGCCGAGCGGGACGACGTACGTTCGAAACTCGCCCAATAATAGACACATATCACTGGTGCCGCTAAGATCAAGCACACTAACCGCTAAAGCTGTTTGGTAGAGATACCGCAGATCAGCCAGAGGCATATTGTGCCAACCCAGAGACGTAGCGATCTTTAATGTCGGAAACGGAGGCTTTCCAGTTTCCTTCCATTGTATACAAGACTTCTCAATGTGTATAGGCCACCACAAGGAGTCGAAGGCATCAGTAACTTGTGTTACAGGTGACTTATAATATCCACACTCTGATCCTGTAAATAGACATCTGCGACTGTGGAGTAACATTAATACATCTACTACGCACGCCCCGGAAGAGGACAACCAACCATATTGGCCGAAACTCATCGCATTTAACACGCTTTCGTTTGCATGTTTGACATCCGTTCTTCGATTTTACATGGCTTCTTCGAATGACGGTCTTTACTGTTTCCATGGTGTTTATATGTGCTTCCAACTTTTCTTTAAGGTGTGAGTCAGGAGGCTTGGCATCAAGGCTCAGATGATAACAGCCGCAAACCGGGCATCATAAGTATAGATCGAATCTAGCATGAGAGGGAAAGAAGCGAATAATTTGAAGCAGTTATTTAGCAAGTGATTATCGCAAAGAAGACATTGAGGACATTAAAATTTCGTTGTGAGTGCTGCGCAAATAGTTTACCCGACTTAGTAATACCTACCAGCCATTTACCATGAGGTCAATTCTCCAAAATTTGAGTCGGAAGCGAAGTTGATTCAAGTCATGTTATATCCGAAGTTTACACGGATGGCACAATTCTTTCCCGGGTAGCATTTGATCTACTTGTTTCGTTCATTCTTTGTCTCATACCCAAATGGTCCTGCCAAGAATATTCATGCTAATCTAGTTCTATCTCTAAAAATATTGAACAATATCTCCAAGCGACATGTTATTCACGAGAAGTCGATTATTGTAGAGATTTTAGGCATCAAATTCCTACCAGAGATTGTACCGAAACTCCTAGAATGAGAGTACTCTCTAAATGCTTTTTATCCCACCATTATCAGTGAGGGTGTCTATGAATACCCACCTGCCTTTCATAAAATTGACTGGTACATGCTGTGGCCAAATACTTATACCTGTTGCACCACAATAATCTCCTTCGTAGATTACAAGATTCTTATAGTTTTTATCATCCTCGAATACACCAAGTTGTAGACCACATCAGTGTTCAACTCAATCAATCTCGAGTTATTCGGCAGGCTACCTAGCCACTAGCCTCAAAACAAACCGTGTAAGATTTTAGCGTGCCGCGAAACTGTCCAATAGTGGCCACTGAAACCATCAGTAGTTTCTCTCAAGCTAGCCTATTTTGTAACATTGGCTGTGTCTCAGCCAAAACATTCCAAGAAATAACATCCCGGTGTTGCTGCGTTGATGGTTGCTGTTCAAGTAGTTGTCTGAAGGCAAAGAGTTATGCTAGAGACTAGAATTTGCTCATCTGACCCTTAAAGGCATATGATCAGAAGGAGTACATGGGCCGGGCATAGCTTACCCGCGATATTGCACCCTCCAGACACAGCCTCAAGCCTCCAAACCATATGAGCAAGTTTATTTGAATAGAGCATATCCGTATCAAGAAGATGGTACCTTTTGATGATGCAACTCTCTACAGGCATCACCCTTCATGTCCCAAGCCACAGCTTTAGGAAAGAAGTGCATCTTTGTGATGGAATCTTTTCTTTTCTCCGCTTTAGATGCTGCTTCTTGAGCCCCACCTGTTGGTATATATATCAGTCTTAAGTCGTAGAAACGTATTGTTTTTGGCAAACGTGTTGCTAATTAAGCTTGACCATTGAGTCCGGGCATACATTCTGCAACTGTGTAAAACCACAGATCCCAGATCGAATGAGAAAGCATAGTTGATTTACATAACGACCGCTCTGCTTCTTTTCCTTACACCCCACCTTCGAAGGAGAAAGTGACAAAAATGTCGGCCCTCACTCTATATCGCGCCAATGGCGTTAGCTCTTTTATTCCTCATGTTCTTTTAAAGGAATTGATGATTCCTTTCACCCCAGTGATCATGCAGTCAGGACCCAATAGGTGGGAAGCTGCTGACGGCAGCCTCGATAACACCAACTATCGCAATATCCACCCCCAAGGCTATGTTCCAGCATTGCAAGTGGATGGTGTAATAATCACAGAACTTCCGGCAATAATTACATATATAGCATCATCATCTACCGGCAAAACCAACCTTCTTGGTGACGACAAAATTGAGCGCGCTAAGGTTGTCGAATGGATGGCCTGGCTCTCTGGCACTGTTCATGCTCAGGGCGTTTCTATGTATTTTCGGCCAGAGCGATTCACAGATGATTTATCTCAATATGAATCCGTTCGTTCGAAGGGAAAAGCAGCAGTCTTGAAAGGGCTGCGACGAATTGATCAGAATCTGGAAGGAAACGTGCATCCGGTTGGTGTTAATGAGACCGTGGTCGACTTCATTCTTCCAATGTTTTGGTACTCGTCAATGAGAATTGGAATTCCAAATTTGCAGGAGACCTTCCCGCACCTCAGCAATTTAGTCAAGAAGATGGAGAAAAAGGCATCGTTGAGAGAAGCGGCGGAGTTGGAAGGACTAGAGCTTTATTTCGGGTAATTTAGCGAAACACATTATCAATATTTGATTGGAATAGAGCTGAGAGTCAATACTGTACTTGATTAAAAGTGAAGGTAACTAACTACTAGCTGAATAAGTATCTCAGAGTACCTACCTATCTGAGGATGCAATATAAAACAATAATATCCTATCATACACCAACTGATCTTTGTACAACGGGATAGATGATGCACTAATACGAGTAATCAGTTGATCATAATGTGTCTAATCAAGGAAATTGGAACACGAGTTCTATCAAGCGGTGTCAGCTTTTAATCTTTTACTTATTATTTCCTTCTGGAGTATGGAAATATGGGTTTCTGGCCCTACGTTGATTCCTCATGGCATAGCAAGGCCGATGGGCATAAGAAGCATAACACGCTTGAAAGAACATACCGTAGCTACCTGTCCGTAGTCTTCTTGCCATAGTGGAGAAATACTGCGCACTAGAGTTCTGTAGATACCAGATGGAAGTGAGTAATAATTCTGCGTGATAAAGTGGGAGGGTTATTATAGCCGGTATTCCCACTTCTGAATTAGCGTATCACGGCATCTTCATGCTGCTTTAAGCCGCAACTCATATCATATCCAGCCCACATAATCGCATCATTGCGCAAGTGCCAATATAAATAGCCAATTCATTCGTTCCCATTAGGATGCCGCCCATCGTCGCCCAGCTCACTACTTCGTGTGTCAAACATTACATACGGTCGATAATTAACGTCGAGATCAATACCTACAACTCGTGATCATGGCTACGACCAAGCGACCCAACTTCCTTCTCATCGTCGCCGATGACCTTGGGTTCTCAGATGTTGGTGCCTTTGGCGGCGAGATTCAAACACCCAATCTTGATCATTTGGCTTACGCACCCTCAGGAGTGCGCATGACCAACTTTCATACGGCTTCCATGTGTTCACCTACACGATCTATGCTTCTTTCGGGCACTGATAACCACATTGCCGGCCTCGGACAGATGGAGTTTTGGGGTCGTGGACGAGACCCACCGGTTCCATGGTCTGAACGACCTGGATATGAGGGCTACCTGAATTTCCGTGTGGCTGCTCTACCAGAGATTCTCCAGGACGCGGGATATTATACTTGTATGAGTGGCAAGTGGCATTTGGGTCTCACAAAGGAGCGCACGCCACATGCTCGAGGCTTTGATCGCTCATTTGCTCTTTTGCCGGGAGGCTCGAGCCATTACGCATACGAACCCAAGAAACCGGACGGAACGCCCGTTTTTGCGCATTGGGCCAGTCTGTACTATGAAGATGATCAAAGAGTTGAAACGAAAGACTTTCCCAAAGACTTTTATTCCTCAGACCACTTTTCAAAAAAGCTTGTCGACTTTTTGAGTGAGAGAGAGACTAATGCTTCCGTCAAGGAGAAGCCATTTTTCGCATTTCTGCCATTTACGGCCCCGCATTGGCCTCTGCAGGCACCGGAGGCAAACATTCAAAAGTATAAGGGGAAATATGACGATGGTCCAGATGTTCTGCGGGACAGAAGACTAAAACGACAAATTGAACTCGGTCTCTTGCCTGCGGATGTGGAGGCGCATCCGGTCATCTCCTCAATTAAAGAGTGGGATGAGATGTCAGCGGAAGAGAAAGCGTGGTCAGCGAAAACGATGGAAGTATTCGCTGGTATGGTCGATAGAATGGATGAGAATATCGGCAAAGTTATCAACAAAATTAAGGAAATCGGTGAGTGGGACAACACTTTTGTCATCTTCATGTCCGACAATGGTGCCGAAGGAGCGATTGTCGAGGCAATTCCCATGACCGGAGATGTGATCAAAAAGTCAATTAATAAACATTACAACAACGACTATGAGAACCTTGGCAATCGAGATTCGTTCATTTGGTATGGTCCTCAGTGGGCGCAAGCCTCAACAGCGCCTAGTAGGATGCACAAGGGATATGTCACAGAAGGTGGCATCCGTTGTCCCGCTATTATCCATTACCCGGGGTTTGCTGAAACTCCAAACGGGCATATTACTGATTCGTTCACTACTGTTATGGACATCCTGCCGACGATATTGGACCTTGCGGGGATTGAGCCACCAGGCTCGAGCTTTCGAGGGCGTCAGGTTGTTCCGGTAAAAGGCAAATCCTGGATCCCACACCTGCTGAGGGAATCTCCCCGCGTTCATGATGAAGATCACGTAACCGGCTGGGAACTATTCTTCCATCAAGCTATCCGCAAGGGTAAATGGAAGGCCGTATTCATTCCAAAGCCAAAAGGTCCAGAGAAATGGCAATTGTATAACATGGACAAAGATATGGGCGAAATTCACGATTTAGCAGAGGAAGAGCCGGAAATTTTAGATGAACTGATCAAATATTGGATGGCATATGTGGCTGAGTTTGGCGTCTTTTTGTAAGTCAACCTACTTCACCCTCGGTCGTGTTGCTACTCTAACAATGCATCAGGAGAGAGGAGCTGGAAGAGGGTTATGTCCTCCCAAAGGCCTAAGAAGCAGCTAAAAAGATAGAAACGGGCATGGTGAACTTAGTATGATATCCCGACTTTATCTATATAGGTACACCTAATTGGTCTTTTGGCAAGCTGAGTTATAGCCTACCACATTGGTGCAAGAATAGGTGCCATTCGCCCCGGTTGACGACTTGACGTCGATATCCTTGAAGGAAAAGCCTTCACATGTTGCAAGTGGGGAACAGGTCCAGCTGATCGCCTTCGTCCCTACTTTTTCGTTCATATATCCCGTGAAGTTGGACCAGGAAATATTCGAAAAGAATCCCGTGGGAGGTGTGTCAGCGCATGCTGGCACATTATATCCTGCCCAGTGAGTACACTGCTGGATTAGAACGGGCGAAGCGGTAATGTTTTCGATGTGGAAGTTCTTGAAGACTAGTGAATATATCAGCATATGGGCTCAATATCCATGAATGAATTGAGTAGATAAACGTACCGACATTGCGGACATAGCCATTGCCGCCGCCACCACCCTGCGGAGGCCAGTAGGTTCTCTTGCCCACGTAAGTTTTGATGTAAGCGCCATTGCGACTTCCGTATAGCTGTGCGATATGTGGTTAGCTTGTTTGTAATATAGACTTATGATAGTGGTAAACATTACAGAAACATCTTCTGCCGTGATATTCTCAACTACGTCTCTCACTCCCTCATACTGTCCAAGACTGCCGATTGCAATGCCCGCGCTGTTGTAGCATGTCAAATTCTTGACGTGAATGTTTGTCGAGCCAGGTTTAAAGCTAACACAATCGTCTCCAACATTTGCCCAGCTATTCTATAGGAATTGTTAGCCATGGCTTAGTAGAATGATAGGGACACTAGATTCCGACCTGGATAGTAATGTTGTTACTGTTGATCGTGTCGAAGCCATCCGTGTTTCCAAGATTACCTGGATTTGCCTTCATTTCGCCGTTAGATCTATTCTCTGGAGCAACTTCAATAGTATACACTGTACCTGGAAATCGTCGGAAGTGGATGATAGGGTGATATTGTCCACAAGAATGTTTTGAGATTCCAACATCACGAAATTCCTATCCTGAGATTAGTATAGACTGTCCAAGTGAGTTGTTAAGTTAAAAGACTTGCCATTTGCCAGATTGAACAATTTGGAAGTTCTTCGCCACCGCATTCTTGACATTTCGCAGACAAAATGGGATGGGACGTCCGTATAATCCGCCAACCCCCAGCGCTAAATCATACCACACTTGTCCTTGTCCGTCAATCGTACCGGATCCATGCCCATCAATCGTGATGTCTTCGCCTGAGAATTCCATCGCGATAGAAATGTTTTGGAAGTAGTAATACGAGCCATGCAGAATCCAATACCGTACATCCGTTGAATACTGCGTTTGTCAATAACACTGGAGTACCAAGAAATTGCAGCTTTCCGTACCTCAAGTGTGCCGAACAGGTCAACTTGGACGTTCTTCAAGTTATGCAATTGAAGAGCCGTCTGAACACTGTACGTGGTGTCTTTTTGAAAGACAACCTTGCCGTTATTTCCACATTTGCTAAACGCCTCGCGGATCGCAGGAGCATCGTCACGTCCATCCTTCAAGGCGGGAATCACACAAGTGTGTTGCGGTGATGGAAGACTGTGCGCATTGGCCACAAATGCGGTCGTCAATGCCCATAATACAGGGCGAAGAAGCTTCATGATGGCCGTCACAATGGAACCGGACGAATACGTTGATCATGCTCTGTTAGTGAGGACTGCTAATTGCCCGTGTTATTTAATATAGACAGAACTTGGCACTTGACTAATCACCATGCTCAGATTCAGGCATTAATCCAGCTTGCTTCTGCCACTTGCTCACCGATCATCGGAGATTGCTTCATCTTGTATTACCTTCGCCATCAGCGTAATGATGGCGTTTCTGAATGCACGCTACCGGGGAGATAGCTGTGGAGCTTCTCATCGGCCCGTCGGCATTGTTTCTCTCTCATAATTCTGAAAGGACCATGCTTTTGGCTAAAAAGAAGGTCATCGAGACTTTTGCAAACTGGACAATGAATGGCGCTATCACGTTTACATGAGTGAGAAAACGGGGTAGACTGGGCTAAGTTAAGCGACTACGAGTGTAGCTTCTGAAGATTGGCAAATCGGAACATTCTATTTTGCCTCCATGCATTCTCACCGACGTGTAAAGTCATAATGATGAGCCCAGGTTTCCCTTGTTCAAGGCTTTTATCACTCAATTTCATCATCGCCGCCATCTACAGCAGGGGAGGTCATAGGTCAGCATAAAGCGGCAAGACAAAGTCGTCTCCGCTTAACCATGTTAGGTGTGGAGATGATCTCACATTTCTGCCTTCGGTGTGCTTTAACCCGTACTTTGACCCGGTAGCGAGATGCTGAATACTACCAAACTCCCGGACTATCGACGAAGAGATGATGCAGGGCTATGATGATGCGATGAAGTTCGCCGATGGATTGACCCATCGCTTTCTGCCAACCCACGTGGTGATGTTGCCTTGGGTAGGGTCGTAGTTGTAGATGTTATTGCCACCAATTAACTTACATACCAGCCAACACCTGCCCATTCGTTCCATGTCCATGTGCCAGACAATTGCTTTCTGGAACTCCTACTTGCTGTAGGAGCGATAAGGTTACGATGAAGGTGTCATCGTTATTATCCGGAATTGCTGTTCTCAGCACTTCTGCGGCGGCTACCGAGAAGAGCGGGGGATTCGGCAGTCGGCCAGCCCCATGGATCAAATACAATGTCCCTCAAGATTTTTATAATCCCAAAGGGCTGGCTCGTCCGGCCTTTCGATACTGGGTTCCGGATGCAGACGTGGAAGATTCTGTCCTGTATGCAGATCTACAACAGATCAAGCAAGCAGGATGGGGAGGAGTTGAAGTCATCTGCTTAGAGAATTATGGCATTGAACTGGCTGTGGTAGATCCAGCAATTTATGGCTATGGGGGTGATAAATGGCGACAAAAGTTCAACACAATGCTGCGTGCTTCCAAAGACTTGGAGCTCCTCGTGGACTTTGCTTTAGGGCCAACACAGGGCGCTTCCATACCAATTTTGGACCCTGACTCTCCGGGAATGAATACTGAGCTGGCATATGGCATTGTCAACTTGAGTTCCGGCCAAGCGTTTAGCGGAGATATTCCACCCCCCAGCCGTACAAATGCGGGATATGCCAACAAGCCAGATTTCGATGCGCCTTTCACAAACTATACAAACAAATTTGTTGCAGCTGTTGTTGCACGTATAAGCAAAGGTGTGTAAGACATTTACCAACTAGACCGTTAATACTCAGAATTGCCTGCTAATTGCTCTTTTCTTATATCAAAGTGCCTTCCGAGGATGTACGAGTAACCCAACTCGACTTTGATGGTGTTGATGATATCACGCACTTAATCGAAGATGGCAAATTGACTTACACCGCGCCAGCTGATGGAAATGAATACGTCCTATTTGCATTTTATCAGCGTCGTACTGGCTATTTAGCTGCACAAGGAGCGTTCAATAATGCCACCGATCCAAAAAATCCAGCTTCTTGGTTTGCTTATGTTGTTGACCATTTCAGTCAAGAAGGGACCGATATCTGGACTGGCTTCACAGAACAATACGTCATGAATGGCGAGAATGGCGATCTTCTTAGACAGCTCGGCTTGTATGCATGGGAAGATTCAGCCGAGTTCCGCGCGACGTTGTTCTGGACGGATGAATTGAGGTCATACTTCCATAAAACACGCGGATATGATATTACAACTGCCTTACCGGCTCTGTTCGGCACGAGCGGCCTTCCGCCAAGCACACTGGCAAACAGTTACTTCTACTACGCCTTTAATAACCATGAGAATGGAACGGATATCAGCTGGAAGCTACGAAATGACTACTATCAGTGCCTCCAAGAAATGTACGAGCAGTATCACCTTGATGGTCTCTCGAAATGGACAAGCAAATGGGGTCTTCAAGGAAGTTTACAACCCTATGCCACTGCACCGAACGCAGCGCCGCCTTGGGACATGAACTCGGCAGCTGCGCACATTGACGCTCCTGAAACAGAGTCCAATTACTTTGATGGAGTCATTGATGCTTTCCGTGCAATGGGCGGCGGAGCCATGATGGGCAAAAAGCAAATCTTTTCCAGTGAACTTGGGGCACACCGTTATTTCTCGTACGCTGCCACATGGCCACTTATCCTTAATGATTGCAAGATCAATTATGCAGGCGGAGTTAACCGAATCGTTTCTCATGGCTTCCCATACTCCGGGCTTCGACCGCAGGTCGAGTGGCCTGGACTGACAACATTTGAATGGTTGTACTCTGAGATGTGGGGGCCACGGCAGCCCAGTTGGTCATACGTCAAGGAGATGGGAGATTGGATGGCTAGGACTCAACTTATTCTCCAAACTGGTGTGCCGAGGATAGATATTGGCATATATCGCCACAAGTATCTCTCTGTTGACATTAAACATTACAATATGGGAGAGAACATATTCTGGGATCAATCGCTCCAGGATGCTGGATACTCCTACGTTTCTGTGAGCCCTTCACTACTGAAACTGGTACGTTTTCCCTAACTCCATTATTATCTATAATATTCTAACAATTACAAAAGGATAACGCAATCATTTCAAACGGGTTGTTGGCGGAGAATGGCCCCGGTTTCTCTGCCTTTATTGTAGACAATTCAACCAACATTACGTCTGAAGCTGTTGATCGATTCCTAGAGTATGCCAACCATGGGTTTCCCATCCTTTTCGTGGGCGGGGTTCCCGAGACAACTCCCTACTATTGTGATTCATGCGACCAGCATGTTAAACAAGAGGTACAAAAGTTGACCAAATACCCCTCGGTCAAAGTCCTTCAGTCAGAGAGCGAAGTTGTGGGCGCTTTGGCAGCACTCAATGTGCAACCCGCGGCAAAGAATCTCTCTCCAACTCCCATCTTATACGTCCATAGGATCGACGAGGATAATCGTGTTGATTACTATTGGGTGTATAACTCAGATATATACGAAGACCATGCCACAGAGGCTTCAATCAGAGGCAGTGGCATTCCGTACACACTAGACGCTTGGACTGGTGTCATCACGCCCATTGTCAACTACACGATATCTGGGGATAGATTCAATGTCTGGATCGAGCTTCGATCAAATCAGTCTACAATCCTGGCGTTTGCTCCCCATGGATTCTTCCCTCACGTTCCAGTCCCGGATATCCATGTTACTAAGACAGATGTTGAATATCTCAACTATTCGGCTAGTAGCCACTCTATCATCGCTCGGTCTGCCTCAAAGGAGAACAAAAAAATAACGCTGAGTGATGGCCGAGTCTTCACATTGAGCGGCCTCGATCAGCACTCTAATCCAGCAGCACTTGGTCCATGGAATGTCACCATCCAGGATTGGCTTCCTAACCCAGACAAATTCAACAACTATACGTCGGTATATCAATATCACAATCTTCAGTTAGACGAGCTTATTCCCTGGTACAACATCTCAGGGCTCAGCAGCACATCCGGTATTGGTACTTATAAAACTCAGTTTACTTGGAATCCTGATGGCAAAGTTAACGGCGCTTTGTTGGACTTGGGACCAGTATTCAACACTATCCGACTTTGGGTCAATAGCCACTGGACTGGCCCTATTGATATCACAGATGCAGTTGTCGACATCACGCCATTCTTGAAATCGGGCCTTAATGAGGTGAAAATTGAGGTTTCATCTACACTTAGAAACAGACTGCTTCAAGTCAACGTCACAGAATCGTGGGAGCAATCACAATACGCAAGTAGCTATGGTGGCCAACCATATGGTCTCGCAGCACCTGTGAAGCTAATCCCGTTTGCTGAGAAAGTAATTAAGCTATAATGAGCTTTACCTATCAATAGATTCAATTCCCATATTTTTGATAAGCGCTGTAGCCATCAACTTAGTCCATTCGTGAAAACTTCATTTGTAGTGTCATGTCCGAGGTGCCGTATCTGCTTCCAAAACCCAAGACCCCTTGATATCAAGGCTATAGCGTGAATTGCATCATTTCAATCGCGCTAACTATCCCAGTCTGAAGATAGCATATCAGCATCCACGGACTTCGAATTACCTATACCTATACACCGCATCACGTCCGTAGCTATTCTGACAGTCAGGGCAATAGTCTGGTGCCGAAAAGCCGCTGCCAAGGATTTTTTGTTTTGCGATGTTCCGTCTCGCCAGATAATTAGCGTAGTTGTGATGGAGTCAACAAGCTTCTTTCGGGCTTAAAGACGTAGCTAATAACAGAACTAATGTCAGGTTGGCGCTGCCAAGACTTGTAGGCTCGATTTTGCAAGTGTCATTCGCTCCTCGGCCGAAAGAAAATGTCGGATGTCGCTGTCAAATCCCGTTTTGGGTTAATAAACCCTGAAAAATCGCGAGATAGTGAGACGGCGACAGATGTCGTGATAGATGGTATATATGTCGCGACAATCCTAGAAAGCTCGGAGCGGGAATAACCCCGGTTTTCACGGAAACCTGGTGCCGAAGATGTCGTTAACATTGACAATACAGGCTGAGAAACCCCACATCTCGCCGCTTTAATATGCCCCATGCTCGTTATGGCCTATGTATAAGCTTGTGTGTTAAGCTAGGCATGCAGGATAAGGTGAACGTCATTCAAGCTTTCGGTATTCAGAGAGGTATATTCAGGCTGTTTGTAGCGAGGAGCAACTGGCCGACGACCCTTTTGCAAATGTTTAGCTTCAGATTCTCTTTCTTCGCTTTCCTTTTGAACGTGAAAAGATATCACATGCTCGTTATTGCGGCGGTATCGGCGGTTGCGATTTCTCTTATATTGTTATTTCTCCCCCCATTGGCATTAAATGCATGCAATACCATCCTAACGGTCTTTATACCTCTACGTGCAACCTTTCTAGTTGCACTTGGTAAATCTCCTCGAGATGGCTTACAAGATCAGCAACATCTATGTCATCACGGCCTTCCTTGTCATTGGAGGGCTGCTGCAAGGTTTTGACATATCATCTCTTTCCGCGATTCTGAGTACCAAGCCGTTTAAAGAAGAGTTTGACAGCCCAACGGCTGATCAACAGGGCGGTATCACTGCCAGTATTTCCGGCGGATCATTCTTAGGATGCCTTGCCAATATGTTTGTAGTCGATAGATTCGGCCGCAGATATACTATGATGGCAGGATGCATTATATTTGTCATCGGCGCCGTGATATGTACGGCTAGCGTTGATATCGCGATGCTAATAGTCGGCAGGCTTCTTTGTGGTGGAGCAGTTGGTAATTATATTTGATGTTTGCCATACAATGCTATGGAGGCTGACTTTGGTATAGGCATGTTCACATCCACAGGGCCGTTATTCCTGGCTGAATTATCCCGGCCTGAGACTAGAGGTCGCATCTTGAGTTTCCAACAGTGGAGTATTACTTGGGGAGTAAGTTGACACCGGTCGAAATTCTTGAGTATCTAATAGTCGAAACAGAAGCTCATTATTATAGGCTCTTATCATGTATTACATCACTTTCGGCACCCAGTACACAAAGACTGAGGCGGTGTTTCGTGTGCCTTGGGCTGTACAAATGTTTCCTGCTCTCGTCCTGTTCGTTGGCCTATTTTTCATACCTGAATCACCCCGCTGGCTCGCCTCTCAAGACAGATGGGAGGAGGCTCTCGAAGTACTTGCCAGCGTTCATGGACAAGGCAGTCAACAAGCCCCAATTGTACAAGCCCAATATGCGGAAATCCGAGAATCAATGGCCGTTTCGGAATCACAGGGCGAAGTGAAGTGGGCTGAGTTGATCCATCCTGACAACATCCATCGCATTTCGAACGGAATATTTGTCCATATCTGGACGCAACTGAGTGGCAACAATGCCTTGCTATACTACATTGTCTACATCTTCCAGATGGCTGGCCTTACTGGAAATGTCAAACTTATTGCATCTAGTGTTCAGTACATCATCAACGTCGTCTTTACTCTACCGGCCATTTTGTTTCTCGATCGAATTGGCCGGCGCCCTGCACTTATCGGAGGGGCGTTCTTCATGATGATATGGTTGTACTCTACCGCTGGCGTTATGGCACAGTATGGTCACTATGTCCCCGGCGGCTTTGATGGATCAAGTGCGGTGACTTGGACGATGAATGATGACGCGAAATCAGCCAAGGCGGCCGTCATTGCATTTACTTACCTCCTTGTTGCAACATATAGCTTCACTTGGGCTCCCATTTCGTGGTGCTATCCGTCCGAGATTTATCCCATACGCCTGAGAGGCAAGGCTGTTTCTATCGCGACTTCAGCCAACTGGATTTTGGGTTTCGCCAACAATTACTACACTCCTCCGGCATTTCAAAACATCCAGTGGAAGACATTCATTATTTTCGGCACTTTCAATGTTGTCGCATGTCTCCACGCGTTCTTTTTCTTCCCGGAGACCAAAAGGAGAAGTCTTGAAGGTGAGAGATATCCCACGAAAGTTTCCTTGAAGAATGATCATTTTAAGCAAACTATTATGGCAAAACGCTAACAATATGCATTTCTAGACATTGACGAACTTTTTGCTAGTGGAGTTAAGCCTTGGAAGTCTAGTACTCTGCCAAAAGCTGATAGGCTGCACGAGTTAGTGGAGGAAGCTGACAAAGGCAAGCTACAATACGAAGTGAACGAAGTTTAACAAAAGCATATATACTTTTAAGATAATAGTAATGATATTGTAGTTGGTTGGATGAGAAAGTCTTAGATGTTGATCCTTATCGATGGCTTCATTTGAGTAGGTGCCGAAATGAATGGCTCACCTGATACGACGTTATATGAAATATGCGATTATTAAAGCAAAACTAATGAGTATTGGTCACACACTCTTTTTTGGAAGAACATACTCATTCTGAGGCATCACAATAAGAAAACAGACTTCTGTTAATAAGCTCGACTGTAGCAACTGAACGATGGACAAATATCCCCTGCCAAAATGGAATAACTGAGAGTATCCAGAATAAGCATCTCAATCGAGTGATCAAATTTGCCACTGTGTAACCTCTACATTCCATGTTATACACCGTTCACGTAGTATGAACTGCTCCGTCCAGAAGTAAACCAGCGGTATAAGCTACGTCCAAGGCGTGATTTGGTTGGTGAGATTCACTCGGCGCAGTAGCATACTGCCTGGGTAGATGGCGCTAACCACCTTGACAGCCGCCCCTCATAATGGAACCACCGTTTGTCTTCACCCTTACCATATAGAACACTAAGAGAATTGGCAACTGCTGATCTCTCACTTCTTTGCCGTTATATCAAGAATTGAAGTAAACTCTATCATTTAATGTTGAAAAATGGAGAGTAATAATAGTTGATAGCACGTAATTTCTTCATGAATGAAGCACAGTGATATATTGGCAGCTACTTATGTGTTGCAAACTCTATATAGCCCCTTTGCTTCTTTATTCTCTGAAACTCTCATGTTGACGCAGTACACAATCTTAGTAGCGTCGTTAATACTGCCTCCAGCTTAGCAGTCGTAAGAGAAAGAGCCCAGGATTGGTGCAGCAACACAGCTGTCAAGACCAACAGTAGTGGCGAAGTCGCTGCAGTTGGGGTCGGTGTAGACAGAGACTAGGCACATTAGACACAGTTTATGGCAATTATCAGCATAATTAGACTTACAGCTACATCCACCATCAACTTGGGTTGCTTTGGCACTGGAAATGCCGCCAAGCTGGTGGCAGGCTCCGTCACCGGCAGGGCTTTGGAAGCTGCAGCTGCCACCACAGTCTTGCTGGTTGCAAAAGAGGATTTGGCCGGCCATAGCAGAGCTGGCAAAGAGAAGAGCGACGGCGAAGAACTTCATGTTGATGTTAGGGAGTTTGTTTCGTTTAAGTTGAAGTGTGTTAATTGAACTTGTTGAGGAGACTGTTGTTATTTCAAGATTGACTACTACTTCGACCCGATGTCGACGCCTCTTTATACTTTTTACCTTGCCATAGATTTGTACATCATTTCCATTCTGGTTTGATCATTGCCCGCGTTACGTTGGCTTGTTGCGTCCATTGGATGGGCTTGCATTCTGGTTTTACAACATTGAGAGTGAGATACAAGAACTCTCTTGTCCTAACAGGTCATAAACAGCAATTAAACCGAGTCATTTCATGCATTACGTATTACAATTTCTTGGCATAATCTTTGCAACGTATCAAATGGCAAGGTCTCTGCTCCGAGGTGTGCTGATTATTCAACTTCTATCATGTGTGTTACCAATGAAATGTCTCAGGATGGAAAGGCAGAAAGACCGTATGTATACAAGGGATTCTTGGTTATGTAGCTGTCACAAACAACGAACAAGTTGAATTCTCAAGTCCAGAACCTCACCAGTGCCATTATGGTACCACAGATGTTTTGAATACTGTTGACAGATGTTCAATAGCCCGTTTCACTACGCCTAAGAACGGCGAGACTATGATAACATTTCATTGACTCAGCTATAACGAAGTTACATGATTAAAACAACCAATTTGACATTGTGTAATGCCAATAATGATCTACAATAAGCATACCAATTCGGACTCAAAGACGCAGGTAAGTTTTCTGATCTGTCAACTAAGGAACGGCCGATCGCCCGACAATATGAGTTGTCCTTCTATATGAAGCCATAATAATCATAGAATACTTAAATCTTAGTTGCATCGTTTACGCCCTGCTTGAAATAAGCGCTAGATCTAATACACAGAGATCGGCAGCGGCAGAAGTCAGCCTTCCAGGTACAAGGATTTTACAGGATCCGAACATCCATCAATTGAGCATTACATAATGCGTAGGGTCTGTTAAACAAATATAGATGGGCATGAATTCTTGTTGAGATTGTAACAGCACATGAGAAAAATGATGACTGTCAGAAGCGTCAGCTTAATACGTCATCTTGGTGTTAAGTGTCAAGAGAGTCAGCTCGTAAATTACGTATCAGTTTCAGTAATCCTCCTCCTCATCCAATGGGCTAATTAATTAATGACACCCAACTTTACAATGCCTATATTTTAACGGTTGTCACTGATCTCATAGTAGACAAACCACAAGGTAGGTTTCTAGGACCTACAGCTAGTTGTTGCTTTGTCTAATTTTGGATTCCCTCCAGTATAGAGCTCATGATGTTCGCGGTCTTTGAAGTCCGTGTTCACCTTTTGCCAACTCTATCGAAAGGTAATGCCTACCATTTCAAAACTCAAATGTTCATAGTCATAATTAATGATTGTATGGACTTGGATTCGGCCAGAAGGGTATAACCCTGACATCAAGTGTACTCCCTATGTATTGCAACCATCACACAGTAGTACCCAAATAATGAGACTTAATAAGCGTAGACAATTGAAGCCTAAAATTATCGATGATGATAACTTGTGGATGGTAACTGGCTTGTAATCGTGTTGGTGGAGACAGACAAGAGTTTCAGAAGTGAAATAGTTAGTAGAAATATCAAGGTATTCGCGACAAGAGCCATTGGAAGTATTCGGAGGTGGCTAGTCAATCCAGACTGATAACATACACTGGATAGGCGTCGGAGACATGAAGATTTTCAGATATCTGTTTAATCGAATAGGAAATTTACAGGCCAGTCCTCTGTGTCGATCAAAAGGGTGTGAAGATCGATCACTGACTTTTAATCTCCGGTTACCTACTCCGTACAGAGCCTAAAACTGCCGATTTGAAGGTTGCGCTACGTGTCTAGTGCATTCATGTCCCACAACTTCATGTAACCAGCTGCTCATCTCGTCGTCTGAACGCCTGCTTCTTCTCCAATGGTTCATCAATGTACACCAAAAGCCAACGCGCATGCGAATAACAGCCTGCAAAAATGGTTGTTCTTGGATATCTAGCATGGCGAGCAATGCTAAACTTTACCACATTCGCGCATGCTTCATCTCACTCTGTACATAGGTGCCCCGCCACCAAAACTCCTCTGCCCGTGTGGCTAGTTTAAAGATTCAATGTTCGATGCCACATATCTTTCACTTGGTTCAGAATCTTTTACTTCTTCCCTCTCTTTTCTTACGTATGATTTATCTACTATTGAACCTCTAAAGCCGCTTTGGATTTCTGCCTGGCAAGTAGACCGTCTCAGTCCTTAGTTTATTAATCTACCAGACGCCGATAGACTCATCTAGCTTATATCCACCCACTATAAAAGCCACTGTACGAGTAGAGAAGACGGGCCACGCGATGCAAATTTGCTGGGTGGGTACATACACCCTGCAGATGGAACTGGCCGAATGTGTCACTGTGCACGGCGTACATACTGTAATCATCAGTGCCTATCTACTCCGTATCTAGCGGGCATATTCGGCGGGGTTGCAACCCGCCAGTCTCGAGACGAGTTCTACCTTTTCTTCGTTGTCACGCTCTCATACATCAGCCGGCATCTTCAGTAACTTTCAATACCTACTCGACATCGCGTCGCCAAGTCTCTCAAGCTTGTATAGAGAACTCCATCGGGGTGAAGAGTATGCTACTGCCACTTATACGATGACACGAGCCCGGAAGCAAGTCACCAGATCATTCTCCGCCTGTTGGACATGTCGCCGGCGGCGTGTCAAGTGTAATGGCATTGGCCCGCCATGTAACCCGTGCAAAAAGCACAAGATTCAGTGCGAAGGCTACGGAATCGAATTGGTTTGGGTAGATCCCAAAACAGGCACGTACCCGCCATATTGTCGCCGGAGCATGGATTTCGAACAAACATGGCGTGGCAGGCCAATCTTAAACGAAGGGCAACTACAGCGCTTGATCGACGCAATGGACGACATTGATCCGGCATTTTCCCAGCGCAAGTCGTCCTCAAGTCCATTCACAGTATTCAGAATTGCCCGATCAAATAAACGCCCGGTATCGGACAGCCCTACTACTGACATATCGTCGTTGAGCCATCGATCTGTTGAGTCCCTGTCGCCATTTTCTCCATCGAACAGATTCTCATCACCCTTTACGGAAAGCGATAATTCTCTATCACCATCACTAACACCTACCATCACCGGGTTTTTATCGATGCCGAAAGATGAAGCCATGATGTTTTATCACTACGTGACGTGGATAGCACCTCTGATGATTCCTGTGGACAGCACCGAGAATCCTTGGAAATCAGTGTATCCCTCCACAGCCCTTCAGGATACTTCTCCGGCTTCACGCGCTTTATATCATGCGATATTAGCTCAGTCAGCTTTCAATATATTCAATCTACAAAAAGGCAACCCAGAATCCCATCGCGAAAGAGAATCTGTCGCCTTGAAGCATTATGGAGCTTCATTAAGAGAGCTGAGTAAGAGCTTGAATGTCACGAAGGAAACGGAATATGATGCCTGCGCTGCTACTTTATATACGCTTATGATATCCGAGGTGAGTCTCTTACTAAGTCATAATAAGACTGTTAACTTATTTTGGTGGCTAGGGCAATGCGCGTGGCTCAGTGGCTTGGAGGAATCACTTTGACGGTGTCGGAGGCTTCGTCACCCACTTTGTTCAGCAAAAGCCATGGACCCGATCCACGCACTCTTGGGTAATATCCCAAAGCCTTGCGCTCTCGTTTGAAATATCACAGACAGTCAATGTCAAACCTTACGGTCGATCGTCGATAACAGATATTCTGTTAGACAGCGTCGCGTCGCGCCACAATTTTGGGTACACCATAGGCGCAAGCTGCGATGTTTTAAAAATCATTTCGTCAATAAGACTTTTTGCAGAAAAAATCGCACTCGGCGATATTCCTGATGATCTCGGTATTTTGATTCAGTCGTGCCTCGTTGAGTTATCACCTCTCAATAATAGCAACTTCGATATGGATCTCGATATACCAGACCGCGATAGTGTTCTGGAGTCGCTGCCAGAAACGCAGCAGCACAAGTTTCTAGACTGCCTACATCTCCGCCTTTTTCGCACCGCAACACTCATATATCTACACCAAGCTATCCTCAAAGTTCCCCCGCGAGGCGTTCGGAAATATGTCAAATCTGTCCTTGAAGATGCTATGACGTTCATCCGCATGCGAGGAGGCTCGATATCCATGTGGCCAATCTTCATTGCTGCGACCGAAGCTACTGAAGAGGAAGATCAATTGATGGTCGAACAGTGGCTAACGATATCGAGCCAACTTGGAATGCAAAATCGCTTGATAGCTAGAAAACTTCTTCATCAAATATGGCATGAACGGTCTGAAGAAGCAGCTGCCAATGGTTTGGATCCAGATCAAGTGATAAAAGACTGGAAGGCAGTCCAACGAAGATTAGGGTTTGATCTTTTACTTTTGTAAATCGGAGTTCTTCTCCTTTTGTCTATAGAAGTTTATGGTAAAGCGGTTGTATGGCATTTCTTATTCAAATACACAACCTAATTTAATTCTTTATTTTACTAAAAGCTGCCTCGACAGCTGTTGCCATATCTCCCAATGTTTCATATGTTGCCCCAATGTTAACCTTGTCTTTTACGGCCTCCAGGTCCCCCATGCCCATACTACCACCTCCACGTGAGATCCAAACCCCGGAGCGAAAGCCCAGAGATGCGACAGGGATGAGATCAAATGTGAGACTTTGGGCCGTATGGCAGATATCACTTTTCTCAATGCCGAAATCTTGGCGGGCATGTTCGACAAGATAGTTGAAGTTGTTTGGGTCTGGCTTATAGGTGCCAATATCCTCAGCGACATAGATGGCATCGAATTTGACCCCGTTCAAGCCATTCTTCAAAGTATTTCCAAACGATACTTTATCAACATTGCTCAGTGCAATTAATTTATAGTATTTGCCCAGCTTCTGCATGGCTGCCACAGTGTCCGCGAAAACTGGCCATTGCCCGATGGCTCCGCCAAATGCTTCCGCTTCATCTCGGGTTACAGATATTCCAATATCTGCAGCGACATTTTCATATACTTTGCTCAGCAAGACTGAGTATTTTTCGTCCGGATACTGAACTTCCAGCTTATGTTCATGAATCGAATATTGCTTGAGTAGATGGGCTCGGAGATCAACCAGGCTCTTGTCCCATAGTGGATGATGCTTGGGGAGTTTCCCCAGCAATGGAAGAAATTGCTGAAAGATTCCAGATTCCCAGTCAATTAGAGTTGCATATATGTCAAATGAAAGGGCTTTGTACGATGTGAGGTCAAAAGAGGCCATTTTGAGATGTTCTTCGAGGGCGCAAGAGTTTTTTGCCTCTCAGTAGAAAGAAGGCGGGATTCTCATGTCTATTATATAGAGAAAAATGCGGAGACCATCTACTAAGAATTATCTGTACTTTTCGATACTATATACTAATTCATACTGCTCCAAACTTCGTCGTAGATAATTCCAGACGGCTTACGACGTGCAGATAAGTTATTGACAGACTTATCGTCTACGGATCTAGACAACAATGCTCCGTCCTTGGCATATTCTTCCGGTTAGACTGTCTTGGAGTAATCTAGAAAGTGGAGGCCAGAATCCTCTCTCCAACAAAAAGGGCAGCCTACGACGAGATCCAGTCAAAATATGCCGGACGCTAATGCACGACAACCCCGCTTTCTATGTTATTAGTCGTAGTCTCCCAGCACGGTATGTATCTATAATGTCGTACAGTGTGGTGGCTGTGGTCTATATGTACCTGCAAGGCAGCCTCAGCGGATATCCCTCTTGGTTGTAGTAGGAATCGTTACCCGGAGAGAATATCCGAGTATAAATTCTTATAGTCAATAGTCTGTGAAATTATCCCGATCAACATGACATGAGTCAGCAGCTGATGATACGTCAAGTTCTATCTCTCCACTTTAAAGATTCCAAGGAGATAGACCAAGACGCATATTTGCCCACGGAATAGTCAGCAGCATTGTTCAATTCATCTCCAAGAAGCAAGTCTCTGTCATCATATAGTATCTAACATAACTACAAGCCAGATTGGTGCATATCAGATTTCTGTTAGTCATGTAGCAAGAGCGAAAAACGCAGCGCAGCGGTGCTGGTCTACGTGCCTATATGATTCAGGATAATCTACGTGTAACGTGCGACAGCTTTGATTCACTCTTGATAGTAAACCAATAGAAACAGAGGTGCTGATTTTGGAATTACTTAGAAGCCAACCTTCGGCAATCAGATAACTAAGGTATGGCAAGTGTGTCTAATAAGTGAACTATCATCGGCAGAATCCGATAAGGGTCCAGTAAAGAATGTTCGAAGAAGTGAGTAAGCCACGTGGAATGCAATCGCCAGGTAGTATGCCTAAATCAACGTCATCGGTGCCCTGGTGGTCGTACCCAGGGTTATCCTCTTTTCCGCGCAACGAAATGGCTGACCCATCATTATGCCCGAAGGAATTGCGAACCGCCCGCCAGCTGATACTTTTAAGCTAAGATTTGACTAAAATATGCTGATAAGATGCAGAAGTGACCATCAGGCCTCCGTTTCCTTGATGAACTCTATATAAATTGGCAATTATGCCCGCGTTTTCTACCCCGCATGAAGCATCACAGTTTGGGCGACTAGGGCCATATCTCTTTTGTCATTGTTACGGAACATCCAGTTGATGCCAAAGATCAAGTCGCCTTGGTCATTCAGAGAAGATTCTCAACATAGACTGGGCAAAGAAAACGGGATTAATAATGCAAGATTCTCGTAGAATGAATCGTTGACGTAAGTTCATCTTTTTAAGAGGCTCAATTGCAACGTTCACTGTCAGGAGAGCGTTTGAAGGAGGTTCTTGCGTCACTCATGCTCATAATGCTGCATTGCTTCCGAACTTTCCTATTGGATTCTCTACGGACTAAACACTTAGTGAAATTCTGTGCGGGGAAAGTAGCTTTGCCTATACATTGGGTATTTGAAGGGTATATAAGGGTGGTCTTTTCCCTCGACATTGGCATGAAGCACTTGAGCTACATGCCCTGATTAAAACCCATTGCATTCAATAAACCAATACAGACTCGGTTTTTCATTGAAGGTCTAATCATGTCACACCTGGACGTCGAACCTGCTATTCCCGTTGGCTCTACTGTTGTAGTGTCGGGGGCAAACGGGAACATTGCAAGCCACATCGTGGACCAACTTATCAAAGCGGGCTACATTGTTCGCGGTACCGTTCGCGACGTGAAAAAGAACAGCTGGTTAATTGATCACTTCTCTAATATCTACGGCCCCGGAAAAATTGAGCTGGTTGAAGTACCAGATATGGCAGCCAGCGGTGGCTTTGACGAAGCTGTAAAGGGTGCCTCTGGATTCATTCACACAGCCACGCCAGTGATGGAGAATGCGGATCCCAATGCTGCGATACCAGTTGTTATTCAAGGGACCGTGGGCGCACTCCAGTCTGCTGCTAAAGAGCCTAAAATGAAGCGCTTCATTCTCACTTCCTCGTCCGGTGCCTGCACGGCTCCAAAGCCAGGAAAAGTCTTTACAATCGACTCTAATACTTGGAACGAAGAGGCCATAAATGCAGCGTGGGCGCCACCACCATATGAAGGGTTCGAACGTCTCTTGGACGTCTACTATGCCAGTAAGACTCAAGGAGAAAAAGAGGCATGGAAATGGGTTCGCGAAAACAACCCAAAATTTATTCTCAACACTGTCTTGCCGAACGCGAACTTCGGCCCTGTTGTCGACAAACACCACCAGAAATATCACAGCACCTTGGGCTGGATTCGTGCCCTCTGGAATGGGTTTGATGGTGAAGAAGGTGTGCGAAGCCAGCCGCCGCAATACTACATCAACATTGTCGACGACGCCATTGTTCATGTTGCCGCGCTCTTGTACAAGGACGTGAACAATGAGAGGCTCTTCACGTTCGCTTATCCATATAATTGGAATGACATCTTGGCCGCCTTTAGGAAGCTCTATCCAAGCAAGAAATTTATAGACGATATTCCGAATCTACCGCGCGATATGAGTATCGTGACCAATGGGCGGGCAGAAGACCTGCTTAAGCGGTTTGCTGGACATGGTTGGACCAATCTTGAAGAAACTATTAAAAGTACTGTAGCAGACTATTAAATCATCAAATACTGAATAGTTCTACTAGAGTAATAGTTTCAGAATAACGTTCGTTGCAATCACAAAATGTCCACTACTGATACGTAAATACTATGTAGTGAGGATAGGGATCAACAAACGGCAGGCATAATGAAGCGCACCATCGCAACAGCTTTTATTAGCCATTATTTTCATTTTATACAGTCATCTATCAAGATAGCCGCCTCAAACATCGAGGCGAGGAACCTGCGGTGAAGAAACGGTATGCTCAGATTCGCTTTGGCAAGGTATGAACAAGCAGCGTGACCCGGAAAATTCGTAGTATCGATTGTCGATATTCCACTTGGCAATACGGTTTCTTTGTATACTTTTCTATCCATTTTCTTAATGAGCAATTCCGGTTATGTACATCTTTAGACCAAGAGAGAGTTGCGCCGACTCCTCTAATCCAAGTAAATGATCCGCGTAATTAATAGCTTTAGAGCCGCGCTTTCTCGAAGTTGACTTCTTTGGTAGCACTCAATTCTTTTTGAGCCTTTTCGTTTAGTCGTTTCCACATGGCCTTTCGTCGTTCATGTCCATCGAGAAAGGCTCTTACCCATTCTCTCTGAAACTTTGGAAGCTTGCGCCCTTTCCCATCCTCTCCTTTGCCAGCTAACTCTCTTAGTGTTTCAAAATAGTCTTCGAAGTCAGGAAATATCAATGTGAATTTGACGCCATCTCCGCGCACTTTGATCCTCTCAGTTTCCCATTTTCGCATCTCTTCAACTGGGGGCAGCGTAGCTCGTCCTGCGAGGAGTCGTGCTGCTAGAACTGCTTGCCATTCGAATACTTTAAATGTCAAACCCGCTGCGACGGCTCCGACGAAAAGCAAGGTCGGGTCATTTTGCCAAACAACATGCTGGTATAGATCTGGCACCCGATTATTGCGGACCGGAACATCGGGGAGGAAAGGCATAGACCAGCTGTAGCCTGTGCTGAAAACGATGTAATCGACATTGGCAATCGAGTTTCCATCCACCAAATGAACAGTTCTGCCTTCCACTCGAGCAATTGACGGATGGTTTCTTATTTTGGGATGGTTAAAAGCCTCTCCTCCAAAATATCCATTGATGGTGTGTCCAATCGTGATGGCGTGTACTGGTGTTTGTGCCGTATTGACAAGATCGAAGGCGATATCAGCTCCGGAGACGGATGCTCCGACGACAACGACGCGCTGGAGAGAAAACTTTAGACTCTCTTTCGACGATAATTCTACTCCTGGATAGCTTATGACTTACCTTGCCATTAAATGGCTCTCGGTCGCGAAAGTGTTTACTGTGGATTACACTCCCCGGCCTTGCCTTCTCGAATGCCTCCAATCCTTCAATCGGAGGAATATAGGGTACCCAGAAATGCCCACTAGCGACAACGACGGCATCAAACCATTCTACCCACCAGTAATCGCTGCGCTGTCCACTTTTGCGCAATACAACTTTCCACTCGGTACCAATCTTTTCTACTTTCTCCACAGTGGTGTTGTAAGAAACGAAGTCACGATAGCCCCTTCTATCAACAAGACTTTGAACATATCTCTGAATAACATCCCATTTTCTAAACGGGGTATCTGGCCCGTGATTAGATATTGAGAGCTCACTACGCTCCTCTGGAATTGGCTCTTGACTAAATTCCATAGGCAGATGGTCAATGTTAGTTTCAAGATACGGATAGACTGATGACTCCGAGAACCGAGGCTGGCTTGATATCTGCGTTTGGGCTGGGAGGGTTTTTGGAACAGCCAAGGGAGTATCTGCTGTGCGGTTTGCCAACGCAGTGAAGTTGGACAGCGTAGGAGGCCTCGATGCATCATCTATCCTAACATTGAGTCAACATTTACAGTTAATGATTATTCCGCCTATCTGAAAACTTTACCCCGTTAGGGGTTGTACTTTCTCTAGGGGAAAACAGCCGTATATGCTGAGAGACAGTAGAATAATAATAACGTACCAGCATCCTCCAGCACGTTCTCGGCGTTCGAACACACGAATGATATCGAATGCCTTCTCCTGAGCAAGGGCATCAATAGCAATAGCACCTGCTGGTCCGGCGCCAATGACGGCCACTCGTCGCACTGGAACACTGCCTGTCATTATAGCTGGAGGTAGTAATTTGTTAAGTTAGAGATTGTAGGATTTCCCATCTAGATCTCAGTTATAAAGAAAGAATGAAAAATGACAAGTCTTCAACTACCACACAGCGAAGAAGCTGGGGTAATTGATGATTTAGATTCCATGGTGGATTATGGCATGTAATAAAGTTAATAACATTTTCGGTTATCTCCAACCTGCCGCATATGCCGCACGCGCCGCAATAAGTCTAATTACTGAACCAGCTGATTCCAAAGCCTAGATTTGCTTGTTTTGCTTGTTGCGCAGGTCGATCTGCCGGCATTGCGCAAATGGTGGGTTCCATCACGCAATCTGATAGCCTCTTAGCTGGAGCTCACTAGTGCTCGGCATTGAGATGCAACGATCAACATCAACAGAGAGATGCTCTCCCACGAGAAAGGCCTCGTACGAATATTGTTTAGTAGGAATCCTGCTAAATAGAAAAATTAGATGAATGTGAGCAAAATCAGGAACAGTATATGCATCGGTTGGCCCAGTAATTACCTATCAAAGAGTTTGGCTTTCCTCATCATGGAGTGGCGGGAAACCTTATCACAGATGAGTCTAACGATGGAGATTTCAGATATCCAGGTTAAATGCCTTCACCATTTACTAAATTATGACAAATGTAATAAAGACCGTCTAGATGGTCTTAAGTGTCATCCCAAAGATATTTCGCCAGCCCACCATTATCCAAAAGGTCACTAGTGAGATCTCCATCATCACACCTTGGCCATCTAGAGAGAATCGGGTATATCTTCTAGCACGCCATAATTGGCGATTACGCAAAGAGACGCTACGCCGTTATTGGTGACGATTGAATATTTGATGTTCAGTGCCATGGCCTTTGGACTATGTTCGTCTTTTTGACTTATGTATGTTCTTAAATAGATCCGAGATCATCATGCATATGCTCGTACCTACATTTGCAACGTGTTTGCCCCCATGGTAGCATTCTACCTAGCCACTTCATGCAACATCAATTTCCTGCAGCCGTTAGTAAACCGTGTCATCGAAAATGAGTGAAAAACGAGAAGAGAAGCAGCAAGGCAGCTTCGCAAATAATACGCTACAAGAAGATTCCGATGTATCGCTTAGAGGAGAAGAGCAGCCAGGATGGAACTTGGTTGACGAGTTGAGAGTTCGTACAAAGTACATTGAATATATCCTCCCTTGAGACGTTTGAAGAACCTTCTAACTTTGTACAAGAGTAGACATGACCGTGTTGCCACTTCTCTTCCTCGGCTTGCTGGTATTCCAACTTGATCGCATGAATATTGCAAGCGCCCTGACGGGAGGCTTTGCAACAGATATTCATGTCACTCAGTCCACAATTAACTTGGGAAACCAGCTCATGTTCATGAGTATTGTCATTTTTGAGATTCCATGCAACATGGCACTCCAGCGTGTCGGCCCACGCAAATGGATATCTGCTCAGGTATTTGCATTTGGTTTCATCGCCATAATGCAAGTATTTATCAAGAATCGAGGAGGATTTCTTGCTACTCGCCTTCTTCTCGGATTTGCTGAAGCCGGCTACATTCCTGGAGCATGTTATACCTTGTCGACCTGGTACAACAGACGAGAGCTGGCGAAAAGAGTAGCTATCTTCTTCTTCGGCATGTTTGGGGGTAACGCAATCAGCCCTCTACTGGCTTCAGGTATCTTGCTGCTGGATGGTCACCGAGGCCTCCGAGGATGGCAATGGCTCTTTCTACGTAAGACAAATGGAAACTCTCCTGATCTTGGCGTCTCTTTCATCCATTCTATACTCTGCTTGATAACTGATGGCAGTGTTTAGTTGAGGGTCTTTTTACCATCTGTGTTTCTATAGTCCTCTTGGTTTTCCTTCCAGGGTCACCCTCTCACCCAAAACCTCTATTAAGCTCAGGATTCATTAGATTCTCAGAGTCTGAATCAAAGATACTGCTAAAGCGTCTCGAAAAAGATGGCGATGAGGATCGAAGCGGACAGGGTCTCAAGAAGATTCCTCTCTCAGTTGTGTGGAGCACAGTATCTCACTACCGCCGGTGGCCACATTTTGTCTCGACCTTTGTTGTCTTCTCAACTTGGAGTCCTTTGACCACATATACGCCATCAATCATCATGTACGTTTTGTTACTGAATGGCGTTATAATGCTCATACTTGTTCTAACTCACGGGAAATCTCATCAGGTCGTTAGGTTTTGACAGAACAAGGGCAAATGCTTTGGCTGCAGTCGGCGCATTTCTTGCCCTTGCCGTTGTTTTCATGTTTGCGTTTCTAAGCGACCGCACCAATCAGCGAGGTGCTTCTGTGATTGCAGCCCAGACATGCTACTTAATCACGTTGATTGTGGCTCGCTCACTTCAGCCTCATGTAGGCAAGTGGTCGCGATGGGGTTTGTGGACGGCTGTTAACAGCTTCGCCGTTGGCTACCATCCCGTTCACAATTCCTGGGTTCAACTTAACTGCAACGACCCCAGAGAAAGGAGCATTAGCATCGCGTAAGTTATTCACGCCATGCCCTTCCAACGAGACATTTGTTGATGTTGATATACCGCAGCATGTGGGTCATGTCTGCTATTAGTGGTCTCATGGCCGGAGCACAATACTTTCAAGCAGATGATAAGCCGCTGTGAGTTGAATCATTGTGAAGACAGAATGACCTTTTTTGGCGCAAATACAGTGAGAGATAAGCTAACCGTAACTCGTCCCAGCTATTCAAAGGGCTTGCGCATCATGATCATTATGGTCTCAATAGGAATCGCCAGTGCCATAGTGCAACTCGTTGTCTACATACGACACAACCAAAGAGTAGCTGAAGGAAAGAGTCAACGCGAGGCGGGATTAAGCCCTAGAGTATATGTACCATGAAGCGACCCGACGCTGCACAAGACCGAATAGGAAGCATTCAGCAAATGTATCGGCGTATTGCCTCCTCTTTCATCCTTCATCAGTCAACTCAACGTTTGGTCTCCAGCGATAAAAGTCACTTCCAGTAAATGCAGCAGCCTTGCGTCCATTGGGGCGATATATTGACTAAATGTGTTGTTATCGGTTGCCTTTTAGCCAGCCGCGAGCCCCATGTGAATATCCATCATCTTTGTCATAGAAATGCTCACTGAACGGTACTAATGCCGTCGAAAAGCGGTAAGATGCGCGGCACTTCTTGTTCTTTAGATGAAAAACTCCATTTATCGCGTTTACACGAATCATGATGCCGGTACTTTATTGGTTGATGGATCCACATTGTCTTCTCACGCCATTTTCAAAAAGAATGAGCATTTCGCAAATTTATATACTGAAAGCCCAAGAATAGGCAATTCGTTCCTTGATTATGTTCATTATGTTCCCTGTATCTGAAGCGCATGTCGCTTTGTCCTGCTAAAATGGCCCCATATTGTAGATAGAACACAGCACTTAAATAGAAGATCAACCCCCTCACACGAGATCCAAATCGTATGCATTTTACTCAACAGAAATCCAAGCTGCTGCAAAATAGCACAGTACCATGGCTGATATAGAGGCTGACGTCGCCAAAAATGGCTCCGAGGAGCACGTTACCCCTCTGTCGACCCAGAAGCCGCAATGGTACCGCAGTACGCTATTCAACGCCTGCGTTATTGGAGGAGTTGGGTTTCTAGCTCCAGGTCTCTGGAATGCCATGAACTCTCTAGGTATGCATTTATACCATTCTAATTCTCTTTTTTGTGTTGTGTTTTGGTACCCGTTGGATCCACCCTTCGTGATCCAACTCGGAGGAAAACCCACCCCACGGACAACCCCCATCTAATGCTTCACCTCAATAGGCGCTGGAGGAGCTGAATCACCATATCTAATTAACGGGGGCAATTCCCTTGTCTTTGGACTTATGGGCTTCTTTTGTTTGTTTGGGGGGCCAATTGCCAATACAATCGGACTCTCATATACCCTCTTACTCGGCGCCATCGGCTACCCGCTTTATTCGGCTGCACTTTATACGAACAACCGTTTTGGCAATGAATGGTTTGTCTTCGTCGGTGCCGTCGCCTGTGGTATATCTGCCGGTCTCTTTTGGGCGAGCGAGGGAGCCATCGCTCTTGGATACCCAGAGCCTACCAAGCGTGCCAGATATCTCAACATCTGGGTATGGTTTAGAACACTTGGACCAATTGTTGGTGGCGCCATTGTTCTGGGTCTGAATGTGAAGACCTCACACAAGGGAAAGGTCGGTTATGTTACCTACATTGTCTTCATTGTCCTGCAGTGCCTAGCGGCTCCCCTTGCCTTGGCTCTGTCGCCGCCGGAGAAGGTCCAGAGAAGTGATGGGTCGCGAGTTATCGTCATGGGAGAAAAGTCCTTAATCGCCGAGTTCAAGGCTTTGTATAACACCTCCAAAAAGCGCAATGTCCTTCTCCTCCTTCCCATATTCTGGGCTGCCTATTTCAACCAGTACAGCGGCAACTTTCAAGCATATTATTTTAGTTTGAGAGGAAGGGCGCTCATAGGGTTTGTCAGCAACTTCGCGACGCTCTTTTCTTCACAGATCCTCAGTCTGTGGCTTGACTGGACTCGTTTCTCTGTTAGAAAGCGATTGGAATATGGGTACTATTATGTCGTTGCTACTCATATTCTCTCATGGGTCTATGGCTGGGTAGTATCGGAACAATACACGTCCAATCCCCCCTTGTTGGATTGGAGTACCCCTGGCTTTGTCAAAGGCTTCTTTGTTCTCTTCCTGTGGAGCTTTTCACAACAGGCGGCCCAGAGCTGGCTATACTATCTTGTAGCTACCATGACAGATAACGTGTCAGAGCTCACTCGATTGACGGGTATTTTGCGTGGCCAGGAGAGCTTTGCCCAGGCTGTGTCTTATGGTCTCAATACGAAGAACTGGTACGGGGGACGAGTGCCGCTGGCTGTAAACACAATTCTTCTTGGTGAGTCAAGCTAAATGATGTCTGAATTTGAGGAAAGCACAACAAATTTCTAACATGGCACTTTGAATGTAGGATTAGCGGTTGTTCCCACTTATCTTGTCGTTCGTAGCCACAATCCTGACGAGACTGATACCGATCGAGCAGGGAAGTCGCCACAAGCAAGCGATGAACTACTGGAAACAGAGAAACAATAGGCCAGTATAGATATAGAGACCTGTATGTTAGAAAATGGGATGGCCAAATATCGAAGGGAGAGTGGCATTAAAAAATGAGAAGAGAACTCAGACCTTTCACAGTCAGCATTCATCCATATATAGTACGCTTTACAAGGTCTTCTGATCTTTAATGAGATACCCACGTAAAGCTATAATGGATCCTTGATGTTTCCATCCTGCGGCGTAATAAAGCAGATTGAAATCTCTCCAAATCGACCAACTCCAATTGAGGTGACGAAGTATGCAGAATGTATAGCGCACCAATACAGAAGGAGATGCATAGCACATGTCGATCGTCAAAGAGTACTCTATATTTGATTCATTGGCAATTCGATATAAGTTATTCCGACATGACTATGCAGACAAGCAAGGGTCAGAAAAAGCGAAACCGCAAAATGAATACGCACATACATTCAGTAATTTGAGCACCGGCTTAGTACTCCACTCATCGAGGAGTGCTTTTGTAGGAGAATGCCAATTCAGCTAACACCTGGATTTTAATACATAAATAAAGTGGTAGTTACTAAATAAATATAGATATAATAGCAACTACTAGAGAAATGTACATATAGTAGCAGTTACTAGAGACATATACATATAGTAGCAGTCACTAGAGACATATACATATAGTAGCAGTCACTAGAGAAATGTAGATATAGCAGGTATGCCCTTTGTACTGTATGGTTCAACTTGTGTGTGCTCGAAATCGTCTCGGTCTCGGTTTTCTGTCCTCCGCTTGGCGGAGTTATCGTATGTAATGATTCTTCATGAGAGATGTGTATCAAAACGTATTATATAAGTTCTAGACCCCGTGGCGTGTTGTGTAAAAGATTGGATCTCTGTAATCAAGTGGGAAGTAGAAGCGCAATGAGTAAAATGAATGGTTTGAAGGACAACCAGCCTTCCGAAAGCGAGACAAGTATGGAGTATTGATTCGTTTAATTTTGCTTCCAGCCCGCGCCCATCAACGATCCGAGCCATCCTTCCGGCCAATCCGCTAAGTCTGCCAAGCTCCCTCCAGTATAGCAGCGTCAGCTAGTGGAGCGTGTCATATGCGGTGAGATCTAGTGGGGTATTGGTGTTATAATATCGCTGAATGTGTATGCGCTTGCTAATGAATTGACTTTTTGAAGGCCTCAGGCCGGCAGTTAATAATGGAGATGAAGGAGACCGAGTTAGCAAAGAAAAGGCTTGCTATTACCTCAAGTTACTAGAAAAGGCCTGCCAGTACCTGAAGTCGCTAAAAAAAAAATACAGAAAAGTGTGCAAATAGACATAAGCAAGAAATATATTTCCCATAGTAAATACTATAAAAATACATCTAGTCTACAACCTTTACAATATCTAGAGTCTAGCAACATCTGCAAACCTAAGGGCTATGTTCCACCTAATAGGCCTAACCAATTCTCCTTAAGGTGCTCATCAAATCATTACCACAGAGTGAAGAAGCTAGTGAGCTAGAGAAGCGCGATACCGTATCAACTGATCGCTGACGCTTGGCAACTTGAAAAGGGAGGTAACAGAAAAGCCCACATACATGAATCAACCATTAAAATGCCAGATCGAGTCTATGTAATTGAAACAGTAGGCACCATCATCCCTAATCTCCAAAAGGAAGCTGTTAACTAAGCCAAGCATCATACGAAGGCAGATCTCTGCCATTTCAGCCGTCTTACACTAGTATTATTTGTCTTATTTGTCTTGCACCGAATATAACCCCTTATGCTATTGACCGGAGTTCCGAGACACCATGTGCCACTTTTAGTCTACAAAAGACCGATGATGCGATATATTAAGGCCGTTTCCCCTCGTTATTGATGCGGGCACTTGCACAGATAACCATTATACATTTCCACAGCAGGCAGAAGAACCAACAAAATGCGGGACAAACACAGCCCTTCGCTCCTCACAGTTCCGCTGATACTGGCGACAGCAACAACAGCCACGAGCCAACTCTTCATTCCTTTCTACGGAACAAGTGCTAACGGGTTCAATGCGCCTCCTCGCGGATGGAACTCTTTTGGCATGCAAGCCCGCGGAGGCAACACGTTCACTCTCAATCAAGCCAATGTGCAAACTCAATGCGATCTTTTGAATGCCACTGCAGGATACACCTTGTGCAGTATAGACTCGGGCTGGTCGGGAAACGGAGGCGATCAGTTTGGTCGTCTTGTGCCAGACACTTCTGTATTCCCAAACTTGACAGCATTGGCCAATCGGCTGCACTCGCAAGGAAAGCTTCTCGGTATATATGCACTTCCAGGAGCATTGTCGGCCGACGCAGGCGTTACTGTTCAAGGAACCAACATCAAGCTGGGGACGTTGTTTGACACGAGCCAGCCGAGTTACAATCTAAGGCAGACATTTGATTTCAGCAAGAACGGCGTTCAACAATGGCATAACTCTGTGGTTAACAACTGGGCTGCAATGTATGATCTCAAAGTCAGTCTTTAGATGCCGCTAACACGATGCAATAGGGGAGTGGATTACATCAAGCTTGATTTCATGACTCCTGGAAGCCCCCAGGCCAACGAAGATCTGCCCGCCAATAACTCTCTAGCTGCTGTGGCGTATCACAAGGCAATCCAACAAGCCAGTCGCCCGATGAGATTAGATCTCTCGTGGAAGCTGGACCGGAATTCAGCAGCAGACTTCTTCCTTTGGCGTGGTAATGCAGATGGCTTGCGCCTAGACCAGGACATCAACAACGCTCAGGCAAGCCAATTCTTGGGATTCAATA